TAGTGTGGTCTGAGAATTTGTCATCATGTGATTTAAGTAACTGCAATATGTCTTCATTTATTTCTGCTTTAGCTAACTTTTTCAGGTAATAGACATCTGGACATTTTATGGCTGGATTGACCCATTGTAATGCTTTCATAACACAGCATTTGTTATAATTATTGTACACTTCACTTTTTTTTTTATATATACAGAATTTTGTCTTATTTTTTCATAACAAAACGATTAATTAACAAAACAGTGTAATCATCAGAGTGAATGAAATATTTAATATATTTATTTAATAAATCTTATTTGTGATATAGGTCATGTAAACAGCTTGTTTATTGGATATTATTTACATTCTGACAACTGTCCTCATCTTTGTCATCACACAGTTTCAGCTATTGAATCATCTGACCTTCATCAGGTGCTTGTTCTAGCTAACCATCAGGGAACTTTGGACTGAGCTCTTTATAGATTGCTCTTGTTCTGCTGACCATATCTAGGGATATCTAGTCTTGTTATTTAGTACTGCTCTGTTATTGCTCATGCAGTTTTCACTGGGGGATGGGGAATTGAACTCAAGTCTATGTCACCAAATTCACAAACCAAACAGTTAATCCACTTGGCTATTGTTCTATGGGACAATGTTGGGTCGGCAAACACCTGATGAAGGCCCAATGTCTGAAGCGTGATAGTAACAAAATGAGGACAATGGTGTGAGTGCAAATAATGACAACCACCTAATCCCAAAAATACCAACACTCTTTCCTCAAGGACATATGGCACAGTGGATAAAGGCATTGGTTAGATCCAGTGATAGGACCCAAAGAGTGTGAGTTCAATACCCAGTCAGAGGCAAATTAACAGGAGATAACTGATAACCGACATTCATTAAAAACATGGCACGTGGAACTAGAAGAGTTTACCCCAGTGAGCGAAATAAAGGGTTAAGTTCGACATTCCAACCAACTGAAGAAGGCCGAAACGTAATAAATATGGTGACAAAGATGAGGACAATAGTCCGAATAATGTAAATAATGTACATAATACCTCATCTCAGAAATATAGACAGATACAAAATATAATGTGATATTTATTATTTACCTTTTATAATGATCTAGAATTTACCGTTTTATAAAGAAATAAATTTGAAAAGAAATCCCTATTCAAAAATTTATAAAAAGACATTATCAAATTATGTAAACCAACTACAATTCAATATTTATTATTTACAATTTTATAAATAACTATAGAAAAAAAAATGAATAAAAATATGGCAAACATAAATTAAAAGAATGTTTGGTTCAGAGGAAGAGATGTTCTGAAACCATTTTATTGAATTTATGTGATGAGAGAAAAATGAAAGAAATGCCTGGAAAATATATTTTTTAAATTTTATAATTACAGTTACTCATTGTTGTGTTTATATAAATTTTCTTGTTCAGACATTTTTATAAATTTATGAATGAAAATTTTTCATATTTCTTTATAAAATGTTAAATAATAAATATTTTATTATAGTTGGCTTTCTTGTAAATATAAAATTATTCTTGTAAATAAGCAATCTAATAAGCAAATAATGTTTAACATCTTTGTTGTCAAATCTGAAGAATAAAGAAAATGCCTAAATCCACTTTCATATTTTTGGGGTCTAATTAAAATTCTAATCAATTTTTTTTTTCTTAAACTATCTACTGTCTTTGTTAATCTTCAATTGTTCTTGTTCCTTAATAATGGTCTTTTTTGTTTGTTTTCTATTCTTTCACATTCAGTAAACATTTATGTCTTATTAACTTTACAGCATTGCATGGGATGAAAGATTAACAAAAAAAAAAAAAATTGTATACAGTATACTTTTTTTTTTTTAGCAGACACAAAGATTAAACATTGCCAAAAATCAATATTCAAAAATATAATAAACAACTAGAAGTAGTTGGCCTTGCCCTGATTTCCAAATATGTAGAATAAATACAATCACAAGTTTATGATACAAAGTATCAATTGCTTTAAAAAGCTGTTGACAATCAGTAATTGTTACAGGAAATGTGGGTCTTATCAGAATTGCTGCTTTCAAGAAAGTAGTTTTGGCTTATCTTTATTTATATATATATAAAAAAAAAAAAAAAAAAAAAATATAGGATCTAAAATGAAATTTTATTTTTCCAATTTTTTAAAAATTTGTTAAAGAGAAAAATTATTTTCATAAATACTATTCCTATTTATATGATTCATATAGATATTGTATATAAATTATTAAAAAAAAACAAAAAATCAATCAAGAACTTTTCTCAGTATTGTTTGCATCATTTATTTCTGTTCATATCTTTTCCAAGGCAGTTAATGTAAAGTGAATGTAGATTATCTCGGTGAGTATTCAAATTTGACTTTCTGATTCCATTAATCTCGGCACCTTTAAAGATTTGCTATAAAAAAATGAGTATACACATTGAAAAAATGCCCCACACTTAATAAAAAGAAAGTTTTATCAAAATCTTTGTTATTAATAAGAAGAAAAACCAAAAGATTTTTTGATTATTAAATATTTTTTTATTTTTTTTTAGAACTTTCAAAATTTTGATTAAAATAATAATGGTCAAATTTTAATGAAACTTTCAGGACTTATTCAGAAAGGAATTAAACTATTTTAGAAAAGTTTTTTTTATTTTTTTTATTTACATCTGTTACTCCCCTGACACACTTATTTAAATTTATGAAATTTTGAGAAATTCATTTTTGCAGCACCTAATGCTTATATTAATTATAAGCACAAGTTCTTGGTGAATGTAAATCATCAATACTTTTGGGTCAAATAGGATGCCTAGTTACAGAAAACCTGCTCTGAATTGTATGATAAAAAAAAGCAGAATTAAAACATTATTTAATTAGAAAAGTTTCATGTTCATCCTTAAGTTAATTAACCTTTACCATGCTGCAGGTGAAAATTGTTTCTGTAGAAATCTCTCCCTTTGCTACTCTAGGCACATTCTGTCACCTTGAGATGGTTGCTATAAATAAACATTTGTCAACTGTTATTTCTGGTATTTTAAACTGAAAATCACCTACTTCTACTTTGGAAGAAGGTTAAACTTCAGTTTTACAATGCCATTTTTAATTCTTCTAGACTACATAAGGTGAAACATCAATTAAACACATGTTAATATTTTCATGATTTTTTTTTTAAACAAAAATTTCCGCATTAATCTTCAACAAAGCCTTTATTCAGGAGTTTTTCTTTGATTAGGACTCCAATGTAGATTTTGAAAGCTTTACTCAAGTGGCTATTGATGGTGAATTTGTTGAAGATGATAACCATGTGATATAGAGGAAAGTGATGATGACCACCAATGGCTACTATCATCCATGCCTGACTAATTTTATGGAAGCTACTGGCGACCATCAATATACATGACAGACAAAATAATTCACCTTCAGAAAGGCTATTTATAAATGACGAAATAATTTTATTAGTCAACAAGACAAATAAATTATAAATCAGATAAAAGAAAGTGCAAACAAATGCTAGTGTCCTCTCGTATGTAAACATGAGGAAATATGACACTTTTTTTGACAAAATGAAAGCCTTCTTAGTGATTTTGCTTCTTATTGCACCCCAGAACTCCACAAGGAGTAATAAAAGTTAAAATACGTTGAATTATTTATGTATTTTTTAATGTATTTGTTTTTTTTTTTTTTATTTCACTTTCAATTTATTTTTTTGTTTTCAATGTCAAAACATGTATGCAGAATGTAATGCATTACATCAAAATATTACAGATTCATTCTTTTAATGTACAAAGATTAAAATCTATATGCACAACACAAAGTTATAATTTTAAAACAGTAGGTGTTCATGTTTTTGCACCTGATCCAAAAAAAATTGCAGTGGCAGTGGGAACAATTCTAGAAAGAAATTAGTGAGGTATAGGTTAAACACCATTACAACTGACCTTTAGTGAGCACAAAATAGTAACTCCCTCCAAATTTGGAGGACTGAGGAAGAAGGAAAGTAATTTGTAAACTGATGTAAAATTTTCTTTGGACCAATGAAAACCTTGCCTTCACAGAAATTTACTGGTGTGCTGAGAAGAAGGAAAGGAATTATTGAACCTATTTGAAATTGTTTTGGGACCAATGAAAACCTTACCTTCACAGAAATTAGCTGGTCAGTCAAGAAGAAAAGAAAGTAGTGAGCCTATGCAAAATTCTTTTTGATATAAAATAATGAGAAAAATTAAATTAAGTGTGATGTGAAAAGTTTCATTTCTGACCAGCATAAAAGTACTCTCCAATTATATTATCTGCCTGTAAACAGCACACAGCATTTCAAAGAATTTTCTCTTAACAAGCCAAGAAAGCTAAGTATTTCAAACTATCTCTCTTTGTCTACTTTTGAACATATTCAAACTGCATATACCTTTGGTGAGCAATGAACTCTCTTACCTTTGTCTTAAACATTTTTTATTATTATTTTGTATCAGATCACTTAATTTGTTGTATGAACATTTCCTCATGACAATACATTGAACCTACGGAGTTTAAAAATTCTTATTTATTTTCCTGAACAAGCTATCGACACTACTTCAAGTGTGTAAGTTCATGAATAAATTCCTCATCTGGTTAAAATTACCCATGTCTTTCTTTGTCATTATCATCCTTCATTAATCTTCTTAGTGTGGGTAAATCAACTGCTCATTTTAACCCTTAAACCCCAAGCCACTATAGACCTTTGGTCTTCATGAAAAAGTTCATACCAATGTTATCCTTTTATTTAGAAAATTCAATGTGAAAAACAGAAACAATATATTTCTCAAAAGGGAAAATGGATAAGCAAAATATATTTCAAAGAAATACAAACAAGAAAGAATAACAGTTTGAAACAAAGTCAAAATGATAAAGGAGCATGTAATCATTTTCATCTCATAAAGAATTCTGATATAGGAACATTTTTTTGATAAAGTAAAATTGGTTTTATATAAAAATGAAAAATTATAATACTTGTAAAATAAATAACATACTTTGTTCGAAGTAAGAGGGATTTGTCTTCTTCAAATCCACCTTCAGACATTAATCTGAAAAAAAAGAAAAAAAGATAGACAATGGAAAAGAAAAGAAAAAAAAAAAAAAGTACAATTTTCTTTTAAGACATTACAAATGATTTGTGTTTTTAAATTAGAGTTCTGAAAATATCGCTGCTTTCAAAAAAAAAAAAAAAAAAAAAAAAATTCTTCATTGCATTTTTGGCATAATATAAAGATGGGACAAAATGTTTGACAAATCATAGGTCTGATAAAAAATACTCCCCCTACACCATAAAAGAAATCATAAACTAAAATTTTTCTATGTAAACAGAAGAATCAGAGAGCTTTTTTTAATTATTTAAAAAATAAAAATGAAACTGACATAAGCAATATTTCAAAATAAAGACATTATTTCTGTAACAAAATATAAGGCAATCTTAATTTTTTTTATATTTATATATGTATTAATTTTTGGTTTAAAAGTAATAAAAATATTTCTGATGAAAGAGTCGATTATTTACACAATCAAATTTAATTAGAGTCAACGTAAAAAAAAAAAAAAAAAAAAAAATATGTAGAAGAATATTCAACTAAAATAACATGACAAAACTTACTGCTTCATTGCCATATTTGTGAGCTGCTCCATTAACCTGAATGTCTCCGAACTGTGTAACAGCATTGAAAAGAAGTGCTGAAAAAAAAAAAATAAATAAATAAAAGGAGTTTTTCAATTGCTGATACCCTCTGACAAGTGGACAGAGTGATTAGTTAATAGTTAAGACCCCAGCTCTAAATGTCTCTGTTGTGAACTAAGTGAAAATAAAAACAGACTCTTAAAAGAAGTGTACTGGAAAAAATTAAAATATATCCATTGTAAGCGGAAGCATTGCTTTTTCAAAAGTTAAAAATTACTGACTATGGAAAGAAACTTAATCAAAAACAATATAGAAACATTACTTACATTAGCTTCTCTTGTTGACACTTTGACACTGTCAGGAAAAATCATGTTATTTCCTCGATCAAGTTTCTACAGGGAGAGAGAAAAAAAAAAAAAAAAAAAAAACTTTAAATTGGAAAAAAAAAACAAAAAACTTTAAATTCGAGAAAAAAACAAAAAACTTTAAATTCGAGAAAAAAAAAAAAAACTTTAAATCTGAGAGAAAAAAACAAAAACTTTAAATTCGAGAAAAAAAACAAAAAACTTTAAATTCGAGAAAAAAAACAAAAAACTTTAAATTCGAGAAAAAAAACAAAAAACTTTAAATTCGAGAAAAAAAACAAAAAACTTTAAATTCGAGAAAAAAAACAAAAAACTTTAAATTCGAGAAAAAAAACAAAAACTTTAAAATTGAAAAAAAACAAAAACTTTAAATTCGAGAAAAAAAACAAAAACTTTAAATTCGAGAAAAAAAAACAAAAAACTTTAAATTGAGAAAAAAAAAAAAACTTTAAACGAGAAAAAAACAAAAACTTTAAATTCGAGAAAAAAACAAAAACTTTAAATTCAAGAAAAAAACAAAAACTTTAAATTCAAGAAAGAAAAAAACAAAAAACTTTAAATTCAAGAATGTTATTACAGGAAAAAAGATTTTATTAAAAAAACGAGAAAACTTTATGTGCACATTATATATTTCTTCCATATGTATAATTTGTTATATACACATTTTTTTATTAAAAAAAATCTTTAATTAAACACTAATTATGATTTATAACATTGACCCAGAAAAAATTGCCTTGGATTTTTTTTTTTTATAACAATTGTTCATATTTTCTATCTTGGGCTCAAACAAAGAGAGTGATTGACATTTGAAGATCAAAGATGACAGGGAGGCTGGAAGAGAGTTCTACAAGTGAGAAGTGTGATAGAAGAAACTGTTAGCATAGAATTTGTGGTTACATCTAGACATTTCAAGTGTAAAATGACGAGACCTTGTTGCTTATACTGCACAAAGCTTAGGTAATTCACAAAGTTTAGGTACCATGGAGGAAAGTTGGTCAGAACAATTACCATTATTTTTTTTTTTTTTCAATTTTTTTTATATTCAGAAAAAATAGCTTCAGGCATTAATTTTAGAAAGCTACATTTATTTCATGGGTAAACATTTTTGCTACCAGTTAAGTTAAATTTTTTAAGCTTATCCTGTGGACTTCTGATTCTTTATACAAGATACAGAATTTTTGTACAATTTTTGTTTCAATCCATTCTAAAGAATTGGATAAGGATTTACCTTAAATTCAATGCAGAAAGACTGGGAGAAAATAAAAGAAAATTTCGACAAAAGAAAATTGAAAGTAAAAGAAAACAGCATAAATTAAAATAACAGCTTTTATACAAAAGTAATACAATTTTGTTCTTTCATCCTGACCAAAGGATGCCAGCTTAGAAGAAATGATTTAATATTGAGGCACACACAAACATATTTCTTCTGTTCTGATCGGAGGAGGCTCATCTAATGATAGTGAAACATGTAATCAAGTCAGTAAAACAGTTTTCCAATTTGTCAAATTTATCAAACTTTGGATTCTGTATTGTATTTACACACACACAATATATATATATATCTCCAAAATAAACAGAGTTATTTGATTGACCTGAATTTTGTAGGTCTGTCCTGATGCCTATTGTATATTTATTTATTCAGGAAAGAGACCACTTTTCTTTTTAATTTCATGCATAATTAAAACTTTCACTGCTGCATTATTATAGCACTATTGCCTGGTTTTGCTGGCCCAGTTTTGGAGGGAAAAATAAGAAAATATTGGAAATAAATGACTGCAACAGATGCTGAAGGTGATTTTTCTCATGGATGTTGCAATTTTGGTTTTGATTGCATACATTACAAAGCTAAACGACACCCTAACACAATATAATAAAAATACCTTACGAAACAGGTTTTAGTGTATGTTACTATTATGTCATTGATGGCTGAAAATAGCATTAAGCACTAGAGACAGACATTTCATAATATATTGAAAAACGTGTGTGTGTGTGTGTGTGTGTGTGACAAATTGGGAAAGTTTTTGTGACACATCTGTTAGAACTTCATTGGACTGGGATTTGTTGATGTTGCCACACCTACACATGTGTAGTTGTGATAATGGATGAAACACGTCACAAAAACTTTTTCCAGTTTGTCATATTTTCTCAATACTGTTGTTTCTTGATATATAAAATTATATATTGTTATGTCATATATATCTACAGTAGACAATAAGTTTCATTAATATGTATAAATACATCCAGAGTAGTGAAAATATTAATAAGGATGCCTTCCCAACCACTACAATCTTAACCTATTCAAGTCCAGGGTCAACTGTTATCTATCCTACATATCCTCATAATCTACAATTCTTATGTCCATAAGACAACTACATTCAATAACCCCTATCTTGAGTGTCCTTGTATTGGGTGAATAATAGCATAAAAAATAGTTTAAATATCATGGTTCTCTTTTGGTTATTAATAATAAAATATTTGGTAAAAAAGAAAAATAAGGATTTCCATTACAAGATTGATACACATAATTAGCATCAATATCAACCCTGAAAGAGATAAAAGTTATCAATGAACATACTGTTATTTTAATCAATACAATGCTGTAGAAATAAAAAAAAGAAATGAAAATAAAAATTTTAACAGAAGTAGCAGAAAGCAGTGAAGACTGAAACCACTTGGTACAGATTGACCTTGAACACAGTCACACATACACACTAAGTTATAACATTCTCACTCATTTCTCTTGTTTAGAGCAATGCTTTGAAGGAATGTGTGTAGAGTGTGGTCGTCTCATCACATCACAGAGGTTCTATCAGTGACTATAACTTATGCAGCAGTTTTTGGCCCGAGTACAATATTTCACAGCACCGACAACCACCATATTCCCCAGATTTCATCCCTTGTGACATTTTCCTCTCCAAAAATCAAATCCTACTTGAAAAGAACAAGAATTCAAGACATTAAGGAAATCCAAGAGAATGTGACAAGGCAGTTGCTCACTATCTCAAAAAAGGAGTTCCAGGAATGCTACAATCAATGAAAACAACACTGGATAAAGTATGTGGCTTCAGAAGGGGACTACTTCAAGAGGAGATTAAATGCTGAATTGATATATGTTGTAGTTTCCTTTTTATACCAACAGTTCTGATACTTCTTGATTAGACCTTGTGTGTATGTGTGTATATATATATATATATATATATATAAAATATATATATATATATGCAGACTCAGAATTTTTTTATCAAGTTACTAAAATATTCTATATTTGAATTAAAGGATGAATAATCTCCAAGACAGGAATTGTTATTAATATACAAGTGGGTGCAGGAAAAAAAAAAAAAATTCTGATCATTGTTTGATCATTTGGTCAGATTTTGGAAACTAGGTCAGGCCAAGAACTTTTCAGCACCCCCTTGTATATTGAAAAGATAAAAATATAATACTTACAGTGACATCAGTCCATCGGATAATCAATTTTGCTTCTTTACCCATCAGGTAGGAGTAGAAACAAATATGGTTAACACTAAGGTACATCCAGCCCTGTCTAGGAACTTTGCCTTTCCAATAACTGCAGGAATAGTCTAAAATTTGAGATAAATTTTACACAGAAAATCACAATATTGTATATATGCTATCTTGTGTAAGTGCATTGAAAAATCAGAAAAGTTTAACTTGCATACTTGAAAAAAGTCAAAAGGATGGTTTTTCTTTTGACACCACCATTAATGTATATTCCATCAGTAATTTTTATTGTTTTAAAAAACTATTTCTAGAATTGTAATAAAATCCAAACATATGAAACTGAATTTATGCATTGTTTTTTTTCAAGAATTGACTACAAAAGAATTAAACACCATTCTATTTGATTGTTTACTTACAAGAATAATTTTATATTTACAATATTATAAAAATATGTGTACCAACTACAAAGCAATATTTATCATTTACCATATTATAAAGAAATGACTATAAAAACAATTTCTTTTGATTCCTAAATTTTTAAAAATGTTTGAACAAGAAATTTTAAATAAACACATAAGTAACTAATTATAAATTTTTGTAAAAAATGCATTTTCTGGGCATTTCTTTTATTTACTCTCACTACATAAATTCACTAAAATAGTTTATGAGCATCTTGATTTATACTTTTCTTGAGAACTGACAAGAAATGTTAAACAAAATTTATTTAATTAGATTGCTTATTTACAAGATTTATTTGCTCTCAGCACATAAATTCACTAAAATAGTTTGTGAGTATCTGGATTTATATTTTTTTTCATGAGAATGACAACAAAAATGTCAAAACTTTATTAGATTGTTTATTTACAAAAATTGTGTTTAATAATTTTTTCTCAATTTGTGAGAGAAAACAGAATGCATAAATCAAGTTTCATATGTTTGGATTTTATTAAAATTTTAAAAATAGCTTTTAAAACAATAAAATTGCCGAGATAGCATGCAGTAATTGTGGTGACAAGAGAAAAATCGTACTTTAGTCACAGTATTTTTTTTGTCTGTATGTATGTTAAACTTTATCAAAAAGTCATTTTGAAAGAAAGATAATTCAAAGACTGGTTTGAAATTGATCAAAAAGGTAATTAAATTGTATAATATTCAGTCTTCTTAATATTTTTAATATACAAGAATACCTGATAAAAGATGAAATATGTACAAAAAAAAAAAAAAAAAAAAAAGAAATTTAATGCAAAAATCTTTTACACAAATTATTCAAACCAATGATTTAAACAATATTTACTAAATGTATATATTAAATGTATATATAGAAGAGAGTTAAATAAGTTATTAAGCTTATTTAAAAAAAAAGAAAAGAAAAAAAGATCAATTCACCTCAATTTTTTTTCTTGTATATTTTAGCTAAAGCTATAAAATCATAGAAGTGTAACAATATGATTTCTCACACATCTTTATAAGATAAGGGAGATAAAAGGAAGGAATTTAAGTCCACTCAGCTATTGGAGTTTTGTAGGAATTTTGTCTCTAGTACATCTTGAGTGAACTTAGGGGTTATTGTTTCAGGATTCATGTCTCCAGTTCACCTTTGAATTGGGGAAACAAAAATTGTATAAATGATTTTAGATAGTTATAAAAGTAGTCCTTTGAAGATTTGACCACCCATATGGCTTTGGGGTAGTCCCAAATCTTCCAGAAAGACAAGTGGATGGATGGGGTGGGACCCCAAGATTATCCATATAAACAGAGAGAGGCAAGAAGTCAGGGGAAAGTGGGTCCAGCCATGAGAGAAATAGGTAGGTGTCCAGAGGAGTTAGAGCTACCTAGCAGCCAGTGACAGAGGGACCAGTAGTGAGGAATCAGGAGTTGCAGAGGCCAGTGAAATTAAGAAGATAGCAGCCCCCCACCTCTCATAGCTGAAGGAAGGAAGGCTCCCACATTTAAGTGAGAAATAATATTGTTGCTACTTCTCAACCAGAGAGTCTTGAAAAACAAATGTCTCCATTTTTAATGTTGAAAGTGATCATGGCTGAGAAGACAAACCTGTGCACATAGTGAGTTGGGTGTATATGCAAATACACTCAACCTTGGATGTCATCACAGGTGCAGTGAGTGATCGGAGAATGTTGTCACAATTTTGCCATGAATGGCATCACATAAGTAAACTTTTATGGTAAAAAAAAAAAATCAGTGTAAATTGATGATTATTAAACTAGGATTCTCTTTAAAACTTTAATAGTGTAATGGTTATCAGTGCAGAAATGGAAATTGGTATGTTGAATTCAAATTCCAGTCAATTCTGTTTTGTTCACTTTGAACTAATACTCTTGGAAAAGGAATATCTTCTTTCAGCTATGGGTTAAATAACAGACTGGGTTCACTTGCTTTGGGTGGCAACCAATCTAGAAGGAAAAATGGATTCAAACCAGAGGAGAGCTTTTTGGAGACTGCATGTTACACTGTGCATGGCAGGAGATCCCAGTCTGCCCTGCTATTTTACCCATAGCTGGAGGAAGATAGATTCATTCCTTTTCAAAGGAGTATTAGTGCAAAGTGAATGAGAAGGAATTGAGTGGAAGTTGAACTCAACATGTCAATCTATGAGAAAGAAAACTGAATTCTAAACCATCTTGAAGACCTGATAGATTTTATGTAAACATATGAAAAAAAAAATAGTTTAAAGAAATAGTTTCAGCTTAAATTATGATGAAGATTAAAATATTATTCTCTATATTCTCTCAAAAACATTAATGTGTGGAAAAAAAACAAAACAAAAAACCCAAAAACATTAATATTGGAAAAAAAAGAAAAAGAAAGAAAAAACATTAATATTAAAAAATATAATAATAAAAAAAAACAATGTTGGAACAAAAAAATACCCCCCCCCCCAAAAAAAAGAAAAATTACACCCATACCCAGAAATCAATGTAATTTAGCAATCCAATATATATTGATTTAAGAAGCAATATTGTGTTACTGTTTATATTCTCAAACAAAAATTATCAAGCATTAAGTCCAATAGAAATAAATTGTCATATTTAAATGCAGAACATTCATGCTTAAAAGTATTTATACTTTACTGAATATACAAATTTATAAGATGAAATAATTGAATGCATTTTTATCATTGCTATTCAAATTCAAGATTTTACAATTTTTATCAAGATGAATATTATTATTAACACATTATTTTTATCAAGAATATATAACATTAGAATAAGACCACCCAACACAAATGACCATTTTTGACAAATATGAAAATTCTGTAATAACCAAATTATCCTTTTAAAAACTATTTTAGCAATAGCAAAGTCTGAATTTGATGATTTTAAACTTTTCATAAAAATGGCAATGGGTTAAAAGAAAAAAAAGTCATTAACAGAATGTTAGCAACGCTAAATTTGCCTCTATACAAAATGTGGTCATTGTTCAGTATCTGTCTATATTTCTGAGATGAGGTATTATGTACACTATTTACATTATTCAGACTATTGTTCTCATCTTTGTTGCCATATTTATTACAACGTTTCAGCTGTTGTACACTCAGGCCTTCTTCAGATGGTTGGAATGTTGAACCGAACCCTTTATTTCACTCACTGGGGTAGACTGTTCTAATTCCACGTCATGACTAATGGATGTCAGTTATCAGTTATCTCCTGTTAATTCCCCTCACCAAGTTCTCCACTGCCTTAAAAAGGTATTGATCTCACACTCTTTGGGTCCTATAACTGGATCTAACTAATGCCTTTATCCACTGTGCCATGTGTCCTTGGGGACACCTGTGTATGAATTTCTGGGTATCATAAACCCAATGTCTTTAGCAACCATTTTTTACCAGTTCTCATATTGCATTTTTGCTGTTACCATATATGTTTTTACCAGAGCTCATATTGCAATTTTTGTTGTTATCGCTTTTCTCTGGCACTCCTTATTACTGGTTCCCATATTGTATTCATGAATACAATATGGGAAGCAATAATAAGGACCGATTGTTAGTTGCCAAAACTGTGTGCCACCCTCTGAGTCGCTTCCTTGTAGATATAATTGACCCATTGATCGGAAAGTCTCCTTCATATGTTCGAAACTCCGCCCATTTGTGGAAATAACCAAAGATGCTCCCATCCTATCCAACCAGATGGTGAGCTTGAATGTGGTGAGTTTGTTCACCAAGGTACCTATGGAGGAGGCACTCTCAGTAGTCAGAGACAGATTGGCCTCGGACTCATCCCTAGAAAAACGGACCAGTATTCCAATAGATAATCTGATGGAGATATTGACTTTCTGTACACAAATAACACATTTCGGAATGGGATCACACATATAGACAGGATGAGGGCATAGCAATGGGCTTGCCATTATCACTAGCAATAGCAAATATATACATGGAATACTTGGGGGAAATGGCATTAGAATCTATATCTCTAAAGCCAACTCTATGGTTAAGGTTCATAGATGGCACCTTCATACTTTAGCCACACCAGGAAGATGTTCAGGTTCTACTGGACTATGTGAACTCAATAAGACCTTTGATACAGTTCACGATGGAGAAAGAGAGTAACAACACACTCCTATTCTTGGATGTTCTAATATCTCAAACAGAGCATGGGTTCAAGACATCTGTATACCAACATTCACCGGACAGTACCTCAATTTCAACTCCAAATAGCCATACACCATAGAAAAAGGGATCATCCGCTGCTTACAACACTGAGCAAAAGTCATAAGTGGTGACCCAGAGACATTAGATAAAGAATTGGTCAGTATAAGTAGTACCCTACAACATAACTACCCTGGGTACATGGCAGCAGCCCCAAAAAACTGGGATAGGCAGGTACAAGAAGAGGACAACAACACCCAGAAAACAGTCTGCCTGCCTTATGTGAAGGGGTTATCAGAGAAAATACAAAGGATCTGCAGTCCATATAACATCAGGACAACCTTCAAAAGCTGGACAACAATTCGCAGATATCTCTCCCAAGTAAGACCCCCATAGAGGAGAACATAACTAAAGACTGTGTGTATGCTATCCAGTGCAGCTGCAGAAAGAAATATAAAGGGGAGACAGGCCGCCCCCTTAAGGTAAGGTTTCAAGAACACCAGAAAGCTGTAA